ATGGCACGGCTGGAATAAACCATAGACTGTATAAAAATATAAACACAAGCACTGAGTGGCCGCAGTCAGATTCAGTGACCATATCAGACCCACACTGCACCGCAGATGTGTGCAGTGTAAATTGTCTAAGCATTAGTGGTAGGGAAAGCCCCTTATACTGGAGCGCGGCCACTTATGAAGTGTTTCTTGGAGGTTATAGTAAAAAGAACAATGATCATATGACTTTTTACATACGCCATGTGACCCGTAAATGCGAAAAAGCCGTTTCCATTGCAGTTTTGCGAATTATTCCTTTTTCGCATTGCCTGAAAAACCACCTCATGCGAGCGTAAATACTTTTTTTGCGATATACGGGAGTTTTTGCGAAATTGACGCGTTTCCATTAGGCGTATTTTCGATTCGCAATTTGCGCAATTTGAAGGCTAATGGAAACGCGCCTAGTGACTCTCCGGGGCCAAATTTGGATACCCCTGATATAAAGCCATACATACAACTCAAAATAAAACAGTGGTCAAACAATCCGAACTGAGATAAATCTTCCAACAAGCACATTCATATATAAAAAGACCCACATATAATAACGCTTCAATTTGCGACATTTTAAAAGAAGAGTAAGAAGTGTCTGCATTGACTTGTACCTTAACTTTAAAGTGGACGTCCCAAGCTTTAGTTGCAATGACACAGCTCAGCCATCAAGCTTTTATTTCAGCGGAAAAGTGCCTGAAAAACAGATTTACAAAAATGTGTATCTTTACAAATCTCAAGGAAATGCTGTAGTCATGCTTTCGTGGTGTAGCTACACCTAAACGGCCTAACACCCAATTAAATCGCAGCTTAAAGTTTCGGTTCGTTTCTCGCGCGCTGTGCCAACGCAAAGGCGCAAAACAAAACGTCACAGACGCTTTACGTTATGATAAGTGTTTTTAAAAAAACAATTATTCAACTGTGGCGGACCGCCAAACTCTAACGTTATGTCATTAATGGAAATAGCATTACATATCCACCCATTCGTTCCACAGACCACACACTAACCCCAGTAGTGTGTGGTAATATCCCAGTACACAATAACGCCAAGTAGCCTATGTTAGAGTAAGAACAGAAAACTCACCTAACGTTACGTTCAGAAATCAACAACGCTCTGCTTATTATTTCACATGAAGTCAAACAACTTACCCGGGCATAGCTAACGGGAAAAGGCGAGCAACGCAAGGCGCACGATTCAGTTTGGCCCGACTCTCCAAACTCGCATCACCAAGCCAAACGAACATGTGCGTTTTGTCACGCGCCGCTTCATTTTACGCACGCTTTGCCCCACGCAAGCGGAAATTACGCGAGGTGCAGGCGGTCTTGTGGTTACGTAACCCAAAAGTTACACCGATAAAGAAACGCCCATTTCACAACCACTACTTACATCATGACAATATTACCCTCAAAGTAGTCAATGTAACTCGAAACCAGGGTCACAAATTAAATTACATGAAATGAACCCCTTCCAAGTACATTTTTACCTTTAAAATGCAATTTTGTATTAACCTCCTGAGACCCTGCATCCTCATATGAGGACATTATCCGAGGACATAGCATAACTTATGAACGAAATATCTTTTTTTTTTTATTTTGCCCTGAAAAAGACAGCATGTTTTAACCTCCTGAGACCATGTGACCTCATATGAGGACATTATATTTTGGTGTATTTCTCTGAGACTATACATGCCACAGTTTTACAGAGCACATTCAGGGCTTTTCAGAGATACTAAATGTTTGGATGTTTCACCATGACCACTCCCTCTCCTTGGTCTTCAAAAATGTCTGATATTAATTTAGTGACACTCTTATGGAAATATGATAATATTTTGTAATTGTCATTTAAATCGGACCAATTTTTAAACCGTGTGTCATAAATCAACATCTCAGGAAAATGTTTTGGGGTTTCAAATCAAAGTATGACTTTCTGTTACGAAACAGGACAAAAACACATTAATATGCAAATTACATTTAGTTTATAGATACATTATATATAATGAGAAAACCTGTGTGTGGCCATTTTACACACATTTTGCAGAAAAATGGTATATCAACTCATTCTGTTATAGCATAGTTGAGAATTATCTTTATACAAAGTTTGGTAAAAAGGATCCTGAAAACTAAAAATGTGTTGGTGATTTTTTAAAAATCAATTGTTTTTGCCTATGCATATTCATTCATGTCTTTTTATTTTTTTAAACAAATTGAGTCCCGTAGCATAACTTATGAATGAAATATCTTTTTTTTTAAACTTTTTTTTAATGCTCTAAACAATGTAATGACATCAAAAAATATGTTTTGCCGGGTCTTAAGAGGTTCAAAGTAGCCTGTCTTGTTTTTATATCAACAACTCAAATTTAAATAATTACTTCCAATCAATCAAAAAACGGTTACCAATAAAAATATATACATATGACCAAAAGCCATCTTTACACTGCAAAACAAGAACAGAAGCTGAATCTCATGGCATATGTTTAATGCGTGCACATGAACCGCATAACGTACAGTAGCTGAAGTATATAAATAAAATTAAAAAGAGGATGCAATATTGTGACCATTTTTTTTTTGTTTTGTCTGGGCAACAAGCTGAAGCAATGGTCATTCCCCAGTTCAAATATAAAATTAAAGGACAACAAATCATCTAAATAGGTGGAGGACGTCTCGTTTTCCCCCCCCTGTTTTTGTTTTCTGTAAGTTTAATGAATGCAAAATCATCATCATCAAGACACGATTTGACAACAGTGCTTAACAAATGTATTAGAGCACAAGTGTAAGGTTTGTTCCACAGCAGCATTACACTTTGATGTTGATTACCAAAATTATTTTTTGTTTCTGTAACGATTAATCCACCAGTATAATCTATAAGCTCTTTAGACACAGTAATGTCATGTTTATAATGCTACAATATAATTATTGATGTTAACCATGATTTTTCACATTTACTGTTTTACAAGAAAGGCTGAAAAATGAATACAACTTTTTATTATTCTTTTTTATTCAGATGCCCAATTACAGTCAATAAATACAGCTTAATTTGATTAATTTATACATTTTATTTCTTACAAAAGTTACACCAAGCATCTTTGGTATGTCTACTACTATTTTTTGTTTTATTTCAGATTATCCGACAGGAAAGGCAATGTTTTTTAAAAGAATAAGATCTAATGAACACTTTTATTCAAGTATTAGCCAATTTGGTCTGATCAGTTTGCAAACTCGTCCTTTCTGAGGTATACTTTTACGTTTTGTTCATTTAACTAATGATTGATAAACATCAAAATATAAGCTTTGTGGTTTCATCACATCCACTTTAATGTATGATCACTTGGCTATCAGGAGAAGGGTGACGCGCTGTGATGATGGGCAACCAACCAACAAGCAGAGTTGGACTATAGTGACAGAAAAATCTGAGCAGTCACTGGGCGACTGAATGAGTCCAGTGTCCACAGAGCCGGACACAAGCACTGCTGGCGTCTTTCTAAATGCTGTCATCTACTGCCAGCTGTATTGTGGCGCTTCCTTTGCTGGAGCAAAAAAATAGCAGTGGTACCGCTCTTGCTAACATACAGTATACGGTATGTTACTGTACACTACTGTACAGTACAGTACAGTACTGTAACATACAGTATAACATACAAAATTATTTGATCTGTGATTGGCCAGTAACTATTATTCCAGAGAACCCCCAAAAGTATATATTAAATAGAACTGTGCAACCTAAAAAAAAATTGAAACAAAGAAAAAAGCAACAGCAGGCCCTTGCAGTGTAGCTGCAGAATATATTCTGATCCAATAAAGCTCAACATCAAGCACCGTGACAAAAATTCCAGAACATCCCTTCAGGGCGATTTCTGACTGTGTAAACCGCTCTTACAGTTTCAAAGGGGTTGTAAAAAAGGTTTATCTCTTTTTAAAGCCATAAAGAAATGAAGCAAGTGGAAGGACGACTAAAGTTTTGCATTGGGTCAAGGAACAGAAGGTTACTGAACGAAAAAATGCGCGCTAGCGTTTCTTTGTATGACCAAAATATTTCTGCAGGGGGCAGTATTGTTCTTTCTCACAGCCCTTGACTTCTTGGATCTCATATAAGGAAAGTTGTTCTTTCCACAGTGCTTCTCCGTTAAGCAACCAAGCCATAGCAAATCCACGAATGCATGCAAAAATATATAAAGACTACAAATTAAATGCATGAACCCTAAATCATTTATGTGATATTTAGATATGTATTTCTTGAATGTACACATTTACATTCAGTTTGTTTTGACAATAATATATTTGCAATGTAATTGTTATTAAAAGTATTAACTATTTAATTGGCCATTCATTATATTATAATCATTATTTGGTTTATTACATTTAAATCATATTATTTTAATTTATATTAATTTACATGAGTTACATTTTTGGACCACAAAACCAGTCTTAAGTCGCTGGGGTTTATTTGTAGCAATAGCCAAAACTACATTGTATGGGTCCAAATTATCGATTTTTCTTTTATGCCAAAAAATCATTAGGA